TGAGTGGAACCTGTCCTGTTAAACCGCTGTATGGTCTTGGCCACAGTGGTGCAGCTCAGTTTCAGGGTCTTGGCAATCTTCTTATAGCCTTCGCCATCTTTATGTAGAGCAACAATTCTTTTTTTCAGATCCTCAGAGTGTTCTTTGCCATGAGGTGCCATGTTGAACTTCCAGTGACCAGTATGAGAGAGTGAGAGTGATAACACCAAATTTAACACACCTGCTCCCCATTCACACCTGAGACCTTGTAACACTAATGAGTCACATGACACCGGGGAGAGAAAATGGCTAATTGGGCCCAATTTGGACATTTTCACTTAGGGGTGTACTCACTTTTGTGGCCAGCGGTTTAGACATTAATGGCTGTGTGTTGAGTTATTTTGAGGGGACAGCAGATTTACACTGTTATACAAGCTGTACACTCACTACTTTACATTGTAGCAAAGTGTCATTTCTTCAGTGTTGTCACATGAAAAGATATAATAAAATATTTACAAAAATGTGAGGGGTGTACTCACTTCTGTGAGATACTGTGTGTATATATATATATATATATATAAAACATCAACTGAAATACTAAGAAATACTAAGTACAAACAAGAGATTATAACCTATAAATGCATTACTGTCATTTGCCAAGGCAAGCACACTATTACTATTATTGCCAATACAAATTTCCCTGTTAACCCTAAGTGTGAAATACACACAAAATCTCCCATTAATTTAAAGGTAGGAGCTTCTAAACCAGTGCTTCTCAAAGTCCGAACTCCGGTCCGAAATCGGACCCGGAGGGAATTCAATCTGGACCCGCCTCCATTTCGTATTTCAAGAGCACTAATTATATTACCTACTTTGATAAACGCATGTTAAACATGTAAATCATTTGTTTCTTTTTTTGGAGATGGTTTGAAATGAAAGTGAAGGCAAGATATTGAAACTTTTCCTTCATGACATTTGTTGTCATGACATCCAGTAAGCATATGACGTTTGACATAATCGGGCGACGTTTCACCGCAAATATGAGTAATATACCGTATATATTATTTATCACTTAGATTATGGCCTTTTGACTTATAGCAGTGTCCAGTGTTTCCCATACATTGAGTTATTTTTGGCGGCCTGTCACAATATCAAAACTGACCACCACAAATAGATTTTCAAAAAGGCTATACTTCGTTAAATAAACTGAGCAATGCACATTTCAAAATTAAAATGCAGCGCAGGTGTTTTTATATGAATGTATCTTTGAAAAGAACCGACTGTCTTCAGAAAAGCTTCGATGTCATTTTCTTTTCGTAATGCCTGATAAAGTAGCATTTGTGAGCGCAGCACTGATTTGATTACAGCCGTTACCGGAGAAACCGCTATATATATCTCCCGATCCAACAGCGCCGATCAGATCATCAAACAAATTTAAATATTAGTCAAAGATAACACAAGTAAACACAACATGCAGTTTTTAAATGAAGGTTTTTATTATTAAGGGAAAACAAAATCCAAAACTACATGGCCCTTTGTGAAGAAGTGTTTGCCCCCTGTTAAAACTGGTTTATCACACCTGAGTTCAACTTCTCTAGCCACACCCAGGCCTGATTCCATATATCGACACTTAAATTAATTGTTTTGCCACTTTTGCACTTATTATTAATGTATTTTGAATGCAAAGGGCACTTTATTTTTTAAAAAGATTAATGTTCATTTGTTATGCATGTTATGCATGTTTATTAAAAACAAGTTTTGTAATAACCAATTGTTCCGGTCCGGACCTTTGACACTGATGAAAATTCAGATTTGGACCTTTGAATGTAGACTTTGAGAACCCCTGCCCTAGAGGCTGTGGCCTTTAGCGTCCTAGTTAGCATGTCCGCCTCCCATGCCAGAAACACTCTGAGTGAGCTGGTCGAGTAGAACCGGAGGGCTTACACATACTGCAAAAAAGATGCACGTAATCTCCTTTTTGCTCCTTCTTTCTGTTTTTTTTTCAATGTCTTGCTTTTATTTTCTGTCCTGTAGGAATGGGTCATGGCGACAGAAT